TTACCTTATAATGAGCCGTTTCTATCTACAGAGGGAGCCAATCCTCCTCTACAGAGTCTACAATGTTGAACCGCCATGTTTCTACGGTAGCCCAGAATGCACAAAACAGACCTGGGCTCTCCATAGGGCCTTTCGCATTTCTGTACGTTTTGCGGCCACTGTAGTTTCTCCTTTATGCTCGGGAGGCGAGCAGCATTTAGTTGGTTGCAAGCTGCAACTTCAGTGCTAGATGCCACTGAATCCTACAAACAGGTCCTTTAACTCTTGGCACCCTATTGATAAAAGGACAAAAAAGATTGTTACATTCTTTTAGAAATGTAATTTCAATCTCTAGCCTCCTGACTTTTATTTACTGTCACACTCACTGGTACCATAGTTAAAGATGGTTCAAAGATAACCTTGTAACCTGTAATCTGAAATTCTATTTCTTTGTTAGCTTCTTCACAGTAAACACTGCTGACCACTCTGCATGTTTTCTCATTACCTATAATAAAAGGTCCAACTCACTTTATCCACATTCAGCATACTTCCTCACATCAGTAAAACCTGACAACTATTTTTAGCTGATTGAATGTGCTGTTGTACAGGCTAGTCCTCCAGATGAAGAGTAAAGCAGTCTCCAACTCTGACATCTCCTTTGCTTTTTCTGCTTCCTCGCTCATTGGGGTTATAGCGCTTATCGCCGTATCGCTTCCAAACTCTTGGATCCTCCTGGTGACACTTGCATCTCTCTTCATGTTCCTCAAGTCTCTCGTATTATCTGCACTTTTGTGTCTTTGCATGCAGCTAGCTTTACGTTCAGTCCATCCCTCTGTCTGCCTCCTAATTGTCCAATCCTGAATATTTTTATTCAGGAAGTACAACCTCATATGTCTCTGTTCCTCCCTCTTGTGTCTGTCCCTCCATTCCACTTCCTTCATCTTCCTCTTTCTCTGTGTTGATCTGTGCCACTCCCAGTCGGTATAAAGCATCCCTGATCACTACCTCACCAGGTTGGCAGGCCTTCACCACTTGGTTGATCTGCTGGGTCACGATGTCTCTGCTGGTGAGGAAATCAACCAGGCGGTTGTAAAGGTAGTAATACGCGGTGTTGTTAAAAACCACAGGCTGCCGCAGCGCGCGGCTTACCGCTTTCTCTGTGGACTCATTCTCAGCTTTGTCTGTCTGTTCTTTCTGTTCTGCCTCCTCTGTATCCTCCTCTTCCCTCTCTTTCTCCAGCTCAGCCATAAAGTCGACATAGGGCTCCAGATCTCTGCAAAGGATCATTGAGTGGTGCTCTGAAGGGAGAGCAGAAGGCTCCTGGGCTGCTTCAGGGGGATAAACCAGCCAGCAACAAGACGATCTGGTGATGGGGTGGACCTGCTGGTTCTCTGCTACCAACGACAGGTCAGCGCTGTACGGCTGGTCTTGTAGCTCAGCGCACGACACAAACTAAAGGAAAAAAAATTCAGAAAACAAGATTGAAACATGTTTTTGTTTTTCAAGGTGAATTTACGGGTTTAACTTTAATTAACCACTAAACCGTTTGTTTGTTGTTTCCTTATAGACAATTGGATTCAATTCAAATCACTCACTTCTGGCTTTTCAAAAGGGTCAGAGAAGCAGCCTTGGTTCCTGCCCCACATTTGGGTTGCTAGTTCTGGGTACTGCATGTCAGCACAGAGCGCCACCTGACGGGCACAGTCACTAACATAGACTGGGGGCCAGTAGCGAGAGGACAGGAGTAGGTCTACGTGGTCTCGAGCCGTCTCTCCTCTCACCAAGCACTTAGAGCCACACATCACCTGAAAATGGAGTAAGTAAAATCATTTCAAAAGTCATAACAAACACACAGGGGACACTTTTTACTTGACCTATCTAACACATACAATTGTTTTTGACCGATTTTTGCATTTGGGGCTTTAACACGCAACATTTTGTGTGAATTTACCTGTTGAAAGGACTGGTTAAAAGAATGGCAGGGCTGCTGTTTTTACCTTGTGGGGGCAGACCTTGGACAGCTTGCCAGCAGTAAAGTGTGCAGGGGGCTGTGGGGCTGTGGAGAGGCCACTGTGGACAAGTGTGTACAAGGAGATCAGGGAGGCCAGCAGCTCATTCTAACACAGAGAGAGACAGAAAGGCGTCTTTTATTTAAACAAACTCCGACACAGATATGAGTACATTAGAGTGAGCAGAGATAAGATTAACACAAACTCAGAATGATGAATGAGGAAACCATCTTTCAACTAAATTCAAGTAAACCAACTTGCTGAGATACCCTTCAGCAAGACAAAGTCTTAACAGTACCAGGGTGCGGGGGAGGGGGATTTCCTGTTCTTTAGACCAAGAATTTATCACATGATTAGTGTATTTACTCAAACAGTAACACTTGTATCCTAGCCAGTATTTAACAGTCAATGTACTTACTTCCTCTCATTAACATACAAAAGCAAAATCATGTGAACATTATAAACAGCTGTTTTTCTCCTTTGTTTTCAACTCACACACACACACACACACACACACCTTAGTGGAGCCTGGGGTGATGCTCGCCCCGCAGCGGTCCAGTATTGTTCTCAGCTCGTCCTCACTGTGATCTTCAATCTTGTCGAGTCTCAGCTGACCATCATGAATGAGACGCACCAAAACTGATGGATCTCCTAAAACAGGTGATAAAAACCATTCTTTTAAAAATACTTCTTTATAGTCCACATAAGCCACCGTAACAATTTTCCAGTCACAAGATTAACAAATAATATATTTATAGTTTAAAATCAGTTGTAGTTTAAAAGAATCAGGTACCTGAGGGCTGCGGTGTGTGTGACAGGACCTTGTCCTTCTCTGTGTTGATAACAGTGGGACTCCTCATCAGTGGGGGAATGAAGGGTGCGATGATAGAAGCATCTACCCGTGTGATAGGGATGTCAGTGGGGAAAGTTGCTTGTTCGATAGCCTCACTCTCCATGGTCAGCCAAAAGTCATCCACCTGTACCTCATCGGAGACTGAAAACTCAGGCCAGGTAAACTGTGGACAGAATCAAGTGGGTGTGATCATGTGCAGAGGTCACTACACACACACACACACAAAACATCTTCACAAGCCGACTTTCTCTAGCTTTTACATGTGGAAAACCACTGTATGGTACTGTTCTGACTCTATTGTGGGTTTTTTTTCCTCATTCATTCTCTTGCATTAATCTTTCACCTCCACGTTCTTTAGCTCCAGTACGTTGCTCGTGTATCGCTGTGCAATCTCCAGTTTGGGAGCAACACCACAAATGCCGCAGATCATATCGTTGTAATCACGCACTGTCAGACACTCAAAGGCCCAGTAGCCACTCAGGAGAAGCTCCTGAATTTGAGACAACTCCTCTGGACTCAGGGCATGGACTGATGGAAAGAGGAAGACACAATGACATTTATAGGAAAAATACTGAAAAAGACAGAAGAAACATAATTGCAAATGTTCAAAATGCCAGACAAAATTAAAGTGTCAGGATTCATGTATGCAGAGTTGAACACAGTGTTTACCAGGGTGGTTCGGGACGTGGTCTAGTATGGTCCTGGCTACCTGAGAGGGGGGATGCCCCAGTTTGATACTGGCCCTGATCTTGAGGAAAAGGTCGATACTAACCAGCAGTCTGTTCCCAATGTTGAACAAACCTGTAGAAAAAAAAAAAGAAAATAAAAAAAAAAAGATTTTAATTCACAGAGGAAGCTGGCTACAGGCCATACCAAAGTTTAAAAAAACATCTTCCTCAGGACAAGTCATTTACATGCACTTGATACAGTGTGACTCATTATTGCTGTTACCATGAATACGGGAGCATAATATTGCCTAACTGTGGGCTTCTGCCACTAATAAAACAAGACAGTATGAAAAGCTGCAGCCAATAACTACCTACTGTTTATTATACTAAGCAACAGAAAGTTTCTGTTTGGGCATTGGAGATAAATGATGATAATAATAACAACAATAGTTTTTGCAAATTGATACCAAAATGCTGTGTCTGAGATATTTATTTGCCACATCAAAGAGCCAAATATCAGAATAAGCAAAGCATCTTTCAAATTGTTCGGCTGATATTCATCAGTATTTTCACCAAAGTGTAAAACATTTTGAAAACATGTTCCTCTGACGAGTGTTAAATGAATGAGTACTGCAAAAACTAGAATTACTGCCCATTCATGTTGCAGTTTACATCCATGTCCGTCCAGTTTCATATGATATATATACTGAAGACGCTAAGGGAGTTTATTAAAATGTAATTAATCTGGTGAAATCGAAGTTATCACTATATATGGATATATGGATGTATGAATCCAGTTAAATATTTTCCAGTAAGAAACATTCTGTTTTCACTTACTATATTTACAGAGGAGTACAGAGGACTGATACAGAGCTTTGTCACATGTTGCAACGACAATTACCTGAAGCTCAATATCAGCAAAACCAATGAGATTGTGGTGGACTGCTGCTGTATGTCTATTAGTGTGCAAGTTCATTGAGAGAAACAAGGTCAAATTCCTCCTGGTATGTCTTCACATGCTTGGTGAATAAAGCTGATTCTGATAGAGCAACAAGTTGTAGCCAGGACAGGAGACAATGCCTCAAATATGGATGTGCTGCAAAGAAGCTACAAATTCTAAAAATGTAGATGGCTTACACACACACACATCTACAACCTGGCAGCACATACATTCTATCCAACCACCACAGTTTAGAGGTGGGCACCCAAGACTAGTGTCACCAATTCAGTATCCAACCAAATGTGAAAATTGGCACAATCTCACCTGTTCCTGAATTATGGCACTGAATAATGGCAAGAAAAGTAATTAGCATTAAGATGTAGCAGTAAAGTTGACCTTTTAGATATAAAATAATCACATCATAATTTTTTCCTATTTGGAAATGTATTTAAAAAAAAGACATTTGTGTTGAATGTTGTCATGATTATCATGTGAATTATGGACAAAAACATGTTTTGTTAGGTCACAGTGACCTTTGGCCTATGACAACCAAAATATAATCAAATTTTTTTTGTTTGTGCCAGATGTAATGAAATTCTCCCCCGGCGTTCCTGAGATATCGCATTCGTGAGAGTGTGACTGACGAACAGACAAACAATCTGAAAACATAACATGGCCTCTGGCTACAGCTGTCGTCAGTGCAAAGTCATATAAATGGGGAAAAGGACATTTCATGGGAATCTTAGATGTTGTATGTTATACACACGTAATTCCCTTTTGGCCAATCAGCAACACACTGATTAGAATTTAGGAAAAGTCTAACCGGCAACTTGTGTCTGACATAGACACAGTCACCCTGAACAAAAGCAGAAGAATCTACCTTGGAGGAATCAGTGTATTTTTGAAAATGATGAAACAGCAGTAACACACATAATTCCCACCCATAATCTGATCTGCTGTGTTTGAGATATTCTGTGTGAACAACTGCACAGAGTTGCCTCTGACTACAAGAGGACAATGAACCAAGAGGAAGAAACTACTGGTAGGCTGTAGTGCTCGACGCTTGATGCAAAAGTAGTTGAACAATGTATGAGTGTAAGTGGGGGCGTTTACCTGGATGCAGGTCAGTGAAGCTGTGCAGAGCCAGACACTGAACATTGAGACACACTTTGAGCTGGAGAGATGCTGTCTGGATCAGTGTCTCAGTAAGCAGCCAGCAGTCCTCCTGTCCTGCAACAGTACTGGGACATACAAGCACACACACATAAGAGCATACATTAGGGAACAGGACATGTACAGAGCATGTCAGTAAAACCAGAAGCAGGATAGTTGGAACACATAAATAAGGAGGGGAAGCCAGGGAGCCGCTCCACTTTGTCATCCCTGTTCTCACCTCTGACCTCCTTTGAAGAGGGGGTAGCTACACAGTCCACAGTGAGTAGCTGCTGATTCATAGAACTGAGGCCACCCAGACTCGACCAGCGTCTCCGTCTCTACACCGCCCTCACGCTCTTGGTCTTGTGGTTGAACCAAAACGATCTGGAGACTGTTGAGCTCCTGGATGAGGGTCAGCGTTTCCTGAAGCTCGGCCTCGCTCTCAGGAATCTGCAGAGAACGGTGCAGTAACTGCAGGGTATTCTGCCGCTGGATGTCCTTCTGCGCAGGACTCAGGGCCTGGTATGGATCAAGCAGAGTCCCAGGCTGCGAAAGGAAAGAAAAGGAAGCGCAATTTATCGAGAGTTTTGGGGGGGCTTTGATGGAGGGAAGGAAATTGTACAAACAGGTTTGTTCATTCTTAAATGAATTCCTGTAATGGGAGCAATGGACAGACCTTGATGACAAGATTAAAAAAACACAGTTCTACAACTAGAAGTAAAAACACAAACAAATACACCAGTTCTTGGAAAGAAAACGGCAAAGATAAATGACTTGACATCAAAGGCCTGTTGTCATCGGTGTAAATTGATGAATGCTAAGAAGCAACTGCTCAGAGATCCACGGTTGGCCTGAAACTCATAAAGGGGGTCAAGGGGTTAGAGATGTAGCTGGAAACTATTCCTACTGTAACTACTGTAACGAATCTGGAGGAAGTAAGCTTTCACCTTTGCTCCCTTGGCGTTCTTCTGGGTCAGCTCACAACCACATTTAGGGCACACTGCAGGTTTGTGTCTGTTCTTATACATGTAGTCACAGGACGGGTTCTTGCACCGACCCCTTCCTCGTGCTGTAGACAGTCCCAAATCCTAAAAGAATAAAGAAGAGCGATATTTCAAGAGAGAAAGAAACAAAAAAGGATATCAAGAAACAAATTTACATCTGAAAAGGATCACTGAATGTAATTTTATTTAAAAAATAAATGTGTAAATTGTATAAAATAATAGTAGTATACTGACAAAGCTGGAAACGGTTTGTTGTTTAAAAGGCACAAATGACAGGATATTCACTCTCCTGTCAGTCACTGAAGACACAGGCTGGCTTCCATCTGCTGGAACTGAAGAATCCTATAAAAATACGTGCAGAAAGTGAAGATATTGGACCAAATGTGCATCTTTGCTGTTGCTATTCGTGTGTGTTTCGAAGTGTTTGTGTGTGTGTGTTAACCTGCTTGGCTGTGGTTGTAGGGACGGTCTGGCCAAGCTGCTTTAAAGTGCTGGGTTTGAGACCTGAGAAACTCTCTCGAGGCACTGTGGTTAGAAAATGACCACATCAACAAAGAATAGAAACCTCATAAAGTGTTTTATTTATATAAACATAACACTTCCTCTCTGTATAATAAAGGTAGCCTGTGCGTGTCAACTATAAGCACTTAAGGAACATACAATTAAACTATATCCAAACTACAGCCTGAAAGATTAATAAAGTATAAATAGAAAATAAAATCAAATGATGCACAGTACCAGTGGATGATTTATTGTTCGTTGCACTCTGAAGTTTTCCTTTGTCAGGTGGGACAGTTAAGATCTGGAACAAAGTACGGCCTAGAAACGGAAACACAAGCCAATATGTAAATCCATATGGTGACAGCTTATTCTGACAACAGATATTGCCTGTGTGCTATATGTTTTATCTCACCTGTGCTATAGTAGGCAGGAAGGATGGGTCTCACAGGCCTCTTTTGAACAGCGCCAATGCTTCTGTCTTGACTCACTGTCGGGTCCTTAAGACTGTCTTTCAACTGGCTACTCAATGACAGAGGGAAAGTACGCCAAGTGAATAAAAACAGCTGCTTTGACAACACACAAAGCTGTCATTATAGTTTTGCTCCGTTCATATTTTTACGTTAATGAATAGTTTTCATCCAACACTTTTATACAGTTCAGCCTTTCAAATAAACACATTAAAAAACAAATAAGGACAATGTGTGTATTTGCTGCAAATGATAATCAGAATCTTAAGACTATTTCAGCATCAAAAAACAGCCTTAAAGCACCAATCTGCTTAAATTTCCCTCAGTTGTCACAGTCCACATAGGCAAAATGCTTTTGGGATCCAAATAACAAACAGAACATGCTTAATATTTAAATGGGAGCTGACTGTACACCAATACTGGATTGTGGTATCAAGAACTTCATGGGTGCTCACTGTGTTTGTTCTTGCTCCTTGGTGCTGCTGCCATCTAGTGGCTTTCCAGCTACAACCGCATGCTGCTTTCTGGAGCACCGTTGAACTCGCCCTTCCTTTTGGCTCCCAGTAGTGTTTGTTTTACTGACATCAGCCTTCCCCTCCCGAGCAGGGGGAGGTGTGGGTTGGCAGCTTTCATTAGGCTTGGTTTCAGCTTTCTGTGGTTTGGACGTGGCTCCTTTCTCCTGTGTCTTCTTTGCCTGATATATAAATGCAGCCAAAGTTAATTGACTTTAACTGCAGGTCCAGACTGGAGGCTGAATCATTGCACAGCTCCTGCAGGTTCATATAAGGTTGAACATCCCTAATCTCTTCATTCAGATACGGATTGACACTTACAGCAGGTATCCATTTTCCGCCCAAGTGGCTCCCACATTCAGGGCACGTTGGTGGCTTGTGGCGGGTGACATACACAAATGAACAACCAGGATTTAGACACCTCCCTCGACCTCTCCGGGTGTATGTCTTCACAGACTGCATTAAAAGAGGAAAACATGCAAGTTTGTGTCTTTCAACTGCTATTACCACCCCCAATCATCAGATCTGAATGATTTTCCTGATTATCTTTTTCTGTGTGCAGACTCTACGCTTGTCAATTTCAGTATTGACATTTATAAGGTGGATGAATAATATGGCTGCTTACCATTTTATATGAAGGTTTGGCACTTTGTTCTATGCTGGCACCTACAGAGACCATCATCATTGGGCCCACAGAGCTGACGCCTGCCAAAGACTTGGGCTCCAGCAGGTTCTGAAGTAGAGGACAAATTACTTCACTGCATTAGTTAAAACACTTTTTTGTGATTAAAAAAAGCTGCATAGATTTTAGCCCTTATAATTCTTAAATTAATGAAGCTCATTCTGCTGACTGGTAGAAGGGCATTTAAATCTCACCTGGGTGGGTATAATGGCAACCACCTGTGTGGTTTCCCGCTGTATCTGCTGCACCGTCACCCCGCCATAACCACTACCAGTAACTCTTGTCTCATTTCCATTCAGCACGACTGCCTCTGCTGTAAGGTTGGCAGAGCCTTGTGAGACATTGGCGTCTGTGGAGGCCGTGGTTTTGGATGAAACAGAGGAAGTGGAAGGTGGGGTTCCTTGTGGGTCCGTGGGATGAGACGCCACTGCTGTTTCTTCTGCTATGTCATCAACAATGATGGGCTGCTCGGAAAGTTCCACCTCTTCAGCCAACCCAAGAGGTGTGAACTGGGACTCGTGGGTGAGAGAGACGGAAGGCAGGCCTCCCTCCATTGGAGGGTCCAGAGTCTCCATGCTCACCTCTGGCTGAGAGCCACCCAGCTGCTGATTTGAGGGGCAGCCTTTAGACAACACAAAGTAACTGGCTCTGGGGAGGATTTTGCGGAAGCCTGGCAGGTCTTTGGAGGGGCTGTGAGAGGACTGAGGGAGAAGCACAATCAGGAAAATTGCACAGAATCATTTTGACATTACACTATACAGCAGTGAATTAGGCCACTGCTGAAATAAAGCTGCTATGCAAATGGGTCACTTCATTCTGACTTTATCTGTAGTTACATGTGCCAAATGTATTCATTACAAATGAAATCCATCCAATTGACTACATGAGTGCTCTGCAGTGCGTAATCATAAAGAAGGGCTCTGATATACTCAACAGCTTATACCTATAATCAAGCACTCCATCATGGGCAAACCTTTTAAAAAGATTGGCTTTGGTTGACTGCTCGGCACTCACATTGATTTAACTGGTTCAACTGACACAACGGTTCTGACAGAATATATATTACTATCCCTGCAGTTATTAGAATCTATTAAACAGGAAACTCGTTTTGTACTTTTTGATCATTTACGTGATCAATGATCCTTAAACTGTTTAAAGTTAATTGCGTCAGCAGTTTTATTTCATATCAACCACGATTCAGATTCCCTGGATGACGCTCAGACACACTGGTCTGCTTAGATAAAAAGTCGAGGCTGGAGCTTACTGTGTCTGTACCCTCCTTCTCAGACTTGGCCTTCTCCAGATAGTAGGCTTTCTCAGCCACGCTGAGCCTTTTCCAGCTCTCACTGATACGCTTGTTGATCTCTGACTGTGGCAGATTAGGGATTTCCTGTTGCATAATCTGGTGAACATCAAAGTAGTATAACAGGTAGGCAGACCTAAAACAAACAGATTAGTTTGACAGTGCATTGCTTTATGACAGGGCTTTACTTAATGCTTTGATATTTTAACAGCTGTGTGTAAAAGTCCTTTGGGCTATTTACATTACCTAGGTTTCTTAGGTTTCTCAACATTGTCTTCTTGAGCTTTGCTCTTCCTCTTTTTTGGGGTAGTCACCTCCACTTGGTTGTAGCAGCTCTCCACCTCCTCCGTCACTTTCATAACTTCAAACACCTCCACTTTCTCCATGATTTCCAAAGACCTAGGGCCAACCTGAAAACAGCATGACATTAGTTTGTTTTTCATGTTTGAACCTTCACGAATTTATTACAAGGAAGTTGTATCAGATTGCACTGGTTTTTAACAAAAGCTAGTTTTAACTTCAAAAAGAGGAAAAACTAAATATATATTGCATTGCATAGTGCTTTTAATACCCTTATGTGTAAACGACACGATATTGTGCAGAGTCATGGATAACTGGATTTCTGAGGTTTATTATAGCTCACTGCTGACAGGAGGCCAATACAGATACTTTGTCTAATAAAAGAAACAGAAAGTAGGGCAGTATGACTACGGGCCGCTACTTTATGCAGAGATAATGTATCAATGCAGTGCCTTAGTCAAAATAAAATATAATGGGAACTTGTCATGCACAGGGCTCTTAAGGAGACTGATAAAGCGTGTGTGGCATGTTAAAAACACTGGCTCTTCCATGCTTTAAAAGTAGGTTTAATGGCGTGTGTTTATACTGCCTGCACAGTCACCGAGTTATCCAATGAAATGCCTTCTTATTGAAGCCTTACCTACGATGACCCGAGGCTCTACAATCTGCTCTGAACAACCTTTACAAGTCGCCGAAAAAGTCAGGCATTGTGCCGACGCTCAGTAATGTTGAAAAGTGCCTATGTTTCATATTAAATCGAGGATTTGCGATGTATAAATGTCTGTAAAGTAGCTTCGTTTCTCGTCGACTTGGATAAAAACATGGCGGTTTGTTGCTATGGTCTTCAACCAATGAAATGCCGGAATAAACAAGTACTGGCCAATCAGGGAAGACGTTTTTGACACGTGAAAGTAAGACGTGCGTCCATAGAGCGTCGATACCATAAGTTCAGAGTGCATTGACAGTAAATATGGTGCACATTGTGTCAACAAACACTCCCTTTATTATCAATCAGTGTGTGCAATGAAACACTACAGTGTATGTCATCTCTGAACATTTGAAACTTGATCAATATGAAAAGAAAAAAACTCCCTTCGCTCTGAAAATTTACAAATTAGGTCAGATAAAAATAAGAACACAACATAATGGAGACACTTTATACATAATACATGATGTACAAGTATTGGTAATTAAAATACAAGATGAGTCAAACAGTTTAAGTGAGTTGAAAATAAATATAATCGCCACACTTATCAATAAAATAATAACTACATTTAAAATAGATTAATAAGGACAGATATAAGGAGATAAAGCAATTAATCTGA